AGAGAGGAGGAGGAGGAGGAAGAGGAGGAGGAGGAGAAGAGGAGGAGGAGAAGAGGAGGAGGAGGAGGAGGAGGAGGGGGAGGAGGAGGAGGAGGAGGGAGGAGGAGGAGGAGGGGGAGGATGAGGAGGAGGAGGAGGAGGGGGAGAACAGAGGAGGAGCAGGAGGAGGAGGAGGAGGAGGAGGAGGAGGGGGAGGAGGAGGCGGAGCGCGAAAGACGGTCAGAGTTCCAGTGGCAGTCGAATAATCTGCATCCCGCCTTGCGAGACATGCAAGAGAGCGAAGCAGCATGGACACATGAAGGCAGAAGCCGCCGAATCGTCGCCCAACCCAGACCGAACACTCATAGGAGGACGCTCCGCGGCAAGTCCACCCCTGACAAGGACGGAAGCTCATTCTCTTCCGAGCTCTGCCAGAAGATGTCAGCCAGAAAGGGCTGCATTAGCTCGTCCGCCATGCCTTCCACCTCCAAATTGTCGAACTTCAAGTAGTCAGTCGGTCTCTCACTGGCTTCAACGCGCATCGGCGCGCCAAGATACGAGGCTGACCGTGGCCGCGTACCAGGCAAGGAGGCCAAGAGCTCCTGCTTCGCGGCCTCCGCGGCCACCAACAGAACGGGCCATGGCACCAATACCAGAACGCTGAAATATACACCCTTTCCGCTTGCAGTTGGACCCATAGCGGTACGGAAGTCGTGGGTTTGCAATTGCACCCTTTCCAATTGCAGTTTCGATCTGCGCGGATGTTCGTGGGTCTGCCCCGCCAATGGGGGGAGCGCAGATTTAAGAACTCCGCGCGGACCTCCAACCATTCATGTGTATGCAACTTGTCTTCTTCGACTGCACACCCGTGTCCTAGCCCCTGGGGACCCAAGTGACGCCGCTAAGCGGAGACCGCGTGCGCGCAGCCGAATACCGGAGAGGAAGGAGTAGCAGGAGGGCGAGGAGGGAAATGAGGAGAGCGGGGGAGGGAGAAAAAGGAAGAGGCGGAGGAGGCGGACGAGGAGGAGGAGGAGGAGGAGGAGGAGGAGGAGGAGGAGGAGGAGGAGTAAGTGAAGGCCCACCCCACCCCAGATCAGCGCCGCTCGATCTCCATTCGGTGTATTGCTGGCAGTAGGTTCGCCGATGAGTGAGCGAAGGAGATGACTCGGCACTGGCGCGTCGATTCCCAGCTTCGTGTTCGCTGTCAGAAGATGTGCCAGCTTGTGCACGCGGCGGGGGAGCAGGTAGGCACGGCAGCCCCTTTTGCCGCCCTCGACGCCGAGCGCCTCACCGCCACCCCGATGAAACCGGCGCGTGCGCAGCGCAAGCAAGCCCCATCCGAACTGCTGCTGCCGCCGCCGCCGCCCTCGCTTCAGCAGTGAGAGCTCCTCCTCCACGTCGTGCCGCCGTGATGGGGGTTCACTTGTTGCGCAGATGGCTTAGCGAAGCGGTCGGTGATCAGTCGAGTGGTGTTGTCTGCCTCGAGTGGTGCCATGAGCACACACATGTGCACAAATTGGGTCAGGCATGTGGGCACCCCTTGGAGTGGGGCAGGAGCGGGATCAAGGGCCTTGACCAGCGCAAGCTGTTTTTTCAGGGCCGCTGGACTCCAATTGAGCTCCGTCCTTTCGATCACGAGAGCTCGGAGGCGCTTTGATCCCGAGCGCTGTGCTGCTGTAGAGGGCAGGTGCGCTGACCCCTCTGTTGTTGTCAGCCTATGTCTCAGGAGGAGGAGGAGGAGGAGGAGGAGGAGGAGGAGGAGGAGGAGGGGAAGATAATCGAGCCACTGGCGGCGGACGGTGCCGTCCGCGCCTGCGCGAGGACGAGGACGAGGAGGAGGAGAAGGAGGAGGCAGGGGAGAAGGAGGAGGCGGCGAGCAGCAACAGCAGCAGCGGTGACATCAGGAAAGGAAGAGGCGATAGGACAAGGATGTGGAGGAGCAGCAGGAGGAGGTGGAGGAGGGACATGGCGAAGGAGCAAGATAACTAGAGGGAGGAAGAGGAGAAAGAGGAGCAACATCAGGAGAAACAGCAGCAGGAGAAGAAGGAAGAACACTAGGAGGAAGAGGAGGAGGAGGAGAAGAGAAGGGGAAACACATGAAAAGGACGAGGAAGAGGAACAGAAGGAGGAGGAGGAGGAGGAAGAGGAGGAGGAGGAGGGAGGAGGAGGAGGAGGAGGAGGAGGAGGACGGGGGGAGAGGAGGAAGAGAAGGAGGAGGAGGAGAAGGAGGAGGAGGAGGAGGAGGAGAAGGAGGAGGAGGGGAGGAGGAGGAGGAGGAGGAGGAGGAAGAGAGGAGGAGGAGGCGGAGGAGGAGGAGGGGGAGCAGCAGGAGGAGGAGAAGGAGGAGGAGGAGGAAGAGGAGGAAGAGAGGAGGAGAAGGACGGGGAGGAGGGGGGGGGGGAGGAGGAGGAGGAGGAGGAGGGAGGAGGAGGAGGAGGAGGAAGAGGAGGAGGAGGACAGAGGAAGAGCAGGAGGGGAGGAGGAGGAGGAGAAGGCGGAGGGGGAGCAGGAGGAGGAGGAGGAGGAGGAGGAGGAGGCGGGGAAAAAAGGCGGCGGAGCAGCAGCAGCAGCAGCAGCAGCAGCAGCAGCAGCAGCGGCGGCGGCGGCGGCGGCGGTGGCGGCGGCGGCAGCATCAGGAGGAGGAAGAGGCGAGAGGAGGAGGTGGAGGAACAGCAAGAAGAGGAACAACAGCAGGAGGAGCAGGAGGAACAATCTGATGAGGAGGATCGAGGAGGAGGAGGAGGAGGCCCAGACCCCCGACGTCATGATGTGTTCATAGAACTGACCCCAACGGTCTCGACCCATTCCCCAGAACCGATTCTTCATCCCGAATCGTTTGTTGATGGTCCCAGGGCCCAGCGAGGGCCGCCAGAAACAGAAAAATAATGGTGAAGCTCCAGCCCATAATTTTCTCACGACCCGAGGGGGTCTGGGATAGGAGGAGGAGGAGGAGGAGGAGGAGGAGGAGGAAGAGGAGGAGGAGTAGGAAAAAACGAAGAGGAGCAGAGGGAGGAGGAGAAATGGGAGGAGGAGGAGGAGGAGGACGAGGAGGAGGAGGAAGAGGAGGAGGAGGAAAAAAACGAAGAGGAGCAGGAGGAGGAGGAGGAGAAACGGGAGGAGGAGAAGGAGGAGGAGGAGGAGGAATAGGAATAAGAACCGGGGGACGCAGTGCCCCTCAACGGACTCGCGCGCCGCGACGGGGCCGCCAAGCCAACCCACCACGGGCGGCGGCCCCGCCCCCTCGGTAGACGACGGTGACTGCCGCGCCGAGGCACCGCGCAACGGCGGGGGGGGCTTACGGCAGGTTCGTGTCGTGCCGACCCCAGCGTTGGTTTTTGACACCGCAGGGATCGTTCAACCTTGAACGATCGGCCGCTGCCGCAACGCCCGATCGTTCAACATCGACCGATTCTGGGCCTCCGCCGGCATTCAAGGTTGAACGCCGGCGTCGGGGTCGCCGCCGGTCGACACGACGCGAACCTACCGTACCGAGGCAACCCCGAACCCATGCGAACCGGGAGAGAACGATCGGCGCCTCCGGCACGAACACCAGGAAGAGCTCGTCGAGCACCGTCGGCTCCTCGCCCCGTCGAGCTGCTCCCGCAAGCAGCCCATGCGGACTGCGCTCTCGCAGCTCCGGCAGACGACCATCGGAGTCCTGTGAGCTGTACCGTCCATGCACAGCTCGCACGCGAATGCGTCATCGCCGCCGTTCGGCCTCGGCGCCTTGCGAAGAAGAAGGCGGGGCGACAGGCACACGGGGCAGAGGCCGCCCAGCATCGCCGCGAGGATGTCGGCCGTGGACCTCCTCGTCTGGATAACGAGGGTCGCCGTCCGCTGCTGCCGCGCGGAGAGGTCGGCAAGGTCCTCCGCGTCCTCTGAAAACAATGCCTGGTTCTCCTACTCCTCGTTGCCGTCGTCGACGGTCGTGCACTTGCCCACGGACGTCTGCAGTGCCCGCTCTGGGTCGACCGTGGGCGCCTCGCTCGGGATAGAGAGGATCGGCAGCTCAGGGGTGGACTCATCAAAGGTGTCGCGCTGCTCTTGCTCCTCCTGGGCCGTCGGGGTGGCCTCGCACTCGACGCCAACGTCCGAACTCGCCCTAACAACAGGGCCAGCGTCATCCGAGCCCAGCGCGGCAGCAATGCCGCCAGCCGTGGGGCAGACATCCCCGAAGGGACCACGAGTCCAGGCTGCGCCGTCGCGCCCAGCATCGCATCGATGTCTGCTCTTTGTCGCTCTGGGTGCTGGACCGCGCCCTGCACGAAAGGCGGCGCCGCCAACCACCAAGTGCTCCCGCCTTCCCAGAAAATGCGCACACCTTCAAGCGGGCCGTGAGCCGTTCCAGCACCAGCCGAGGGCTCCGCGACACAGACCTCCACGGTGATATCCCAGCCGCCCATCGTTACTTCGTCGCCGTCCACTGCGCCCTCGCAATCCACAGAAACCCCCAGCCGAAACCCCTCCGCCGCCTGCCGCAAGGAAGCCGCGGAGGCTCGGCTGAGACTGCCCGGGACGCGAGCGGCTTGCAGGGCGACGTTGCGCCGCAGCCGCCGCTGCAGCGCCGTCGGGTACTGACCTGTCAACAGGGCGGCGAGCGCGGGCGCGACCGCGTCGAGCGCCTTCAAGGTCGCGTCGAGGCCCTCGTGCAGCTCCTTCACCTCGGCGGTGAGGCGCGCCACGAGCCTGTCCGACGACGACTTGACCCAGGCCCTGCGCTCGCGCCGCGAAGACGCCTCCAGCTGGCGCCGTCCAGGGGCGCCTCCCGCAGCCATCATCCCGTGAGCCGAAAGCCCTGCCCTCCCAAGGCTCTCACGCCCGCCCGGGATGGGGGTACGCCGAGGGACAACGTCCAGGAGCAGGGAGCCTTCGCAAAGGCATGAGCTAAAATGGCTACGGAGGAGGAGGAAGAGGAGGAGGAGGAGGGGTAGAGAGAAGAGAGGAGGGAGGACAAGGAGGAGAAGCAGGAGGAAGAGGAGGAGGAGGAGGAGCACGAGGAGGAGGAAAAGGGCCGCGGACGCCATCCGGCGGCCTCGTCCTCCTCCTGGCCGTGCTGCGCGGCCTCCTCCGCGTCCGCCTCCTGGCCGTGCTGCGCGGCCTCCTCCGCCTCCGCATCGGCTGCAGCGGCGGGCGCCTCCTCCCCTGCGGACTGCCTCCGCCAGCGCGCGGGTGGGGGTGGGGATAGCCAACCTGGAGCTCGTCGTCGTCGTCGTCGTCGCCGCCGCCACCGCCGCCGCCGTAGCCGCCGCCGCCGCCGCTTGTCGCCGTCGTCGTCGTCGTCGTCGTCATCGTCGTCGCCGTCGCCGCCGTCGTCGTCGTCGTCGTCGTCGGCAGCGGCGGCGGCGTCGGCATCGGCGTTGGCGTCGGCGTCGGCGTCGGCGTCATCGTCGTTGTCGTCGTCGTCGTGGAGGTCGCTTCGCCCTTGGAGCTGGCTGGGGGTCTGAGGAGGTTCCGGCGAGCAGGGAGGGGAGGCGGTTTTGCCTTACTCGGCCTCTGTGGTCCGTTTTTTTTTCGGAGCCCCAAATCGCGCTCATCCCTGTCCGTGATATCGACAAACACAAATACGATGGCATGCGCCCTTGGGAACTCATGGGGTCCACCGAGGTATTAGGTGATGCCGCCGACCATTGTGCATATTAACGATTGCCGCGCCCATTCGGTAGCCTTCATAACCTGTGGCAGTCACGCACGCACCCATGTTGTGACGGCCCTTCTCGAAAGCCTCCTGGGGGGAGCCCTCGAGAGCCCATTGGGGAAGGCGTGACCCCACGTGGGCCCCGTGACCCAAATAGGGCTATGTGACCTCGTGTTGGCCATGGCCGCCGCTCCACTACGACGGGAGAGAGGGCGGAGGGAGGCCACCAAGATGATGTCCGAATCGATGGGGTCGGAGGAGTGCGCCGCATCCCCGGTGAATTGCCGATGCATCGGTGATGCATCGTCGACATCGGCGGTGCATGGGCGACGCCAGCGCGGAGAAAGCCAGGCTCCACACAGAGCCGCATCGCCGCTGCATCGGCGATGCGGCGCGATCCTCCGGGAAGGAGAGGGGGAAGAGGAGGAGGAGGAGGAGGAGGAGGAGGAGGAGAAAGAGAAGGAAAAAGGAAGAAGAAGAGAAGGAGAAGGAGGAGGAGGAGGAGGACAGAGGAGGAAGACGAGGAGCAGGAGGAGGAGGAGTATGAGTACGAGTCTGAGTATGACCATGTGACAGAGACAACCTTGTGCCTACCACCGTGAAAGATTTGAGGCGCACTACTGAATTATTCCCATCCGCGGGTGCGCTTTTCTGCTGCACTTAAACATTGGGTACGAGACCCCTGGAAATTAGACTCAGGTATCCAGCTCGTGTGGGGGTGATCTTGCCTGTGCACCCCTTCCCTAATTCACGCAACGCGGCCGATGCATAACAACCGCAAGACTTACAATACCATAAATTCAACGAGGTCGGTAAGAGTTCCATGCCGCGGCGGTGCGGGTGGGGGACATCTTAGCTAGGTGGAGGGCCGTGGCTCTGTCTCTCATTTTGGGGAGGGGCCGCTCCCATGTCCCTCTTGTGAGGGCGTCCGCTTGCGCCTTAGTGAGCTGCTCACCTGGGGGGGGGGGATCGCCCTCCGCGGCGCGCGAGGCCACCACAGCGCCGAGGCATGGCCACTGGTCCCGCACGGAGGATCCCCCGAAGGGGGTGTAGTCCATGAGGTTGCGCCACCATTCGTGGCGACCTGCGGGAACAGGGGCTGTTTTGAAAGTGCAACTGCACGGGCGCTGAAATGGGATGCATGAGTCGATGGCCTGCTGGTCCACGCCTCCCATGCGGAGGGCCAGAATAAGCTCGCCCGGAAGTCCGGTGATCAGGACATTGTCCCCGTCTTGCTCAAAGTGGACTGGAACTTCCTCGAGAGCCTCCTTGAGGGCTTCTGAGTCTGTGGTCCGGATACCTCTGCAATGGCGCGCTTCGACTAGGAGACCGGCGGCGCGCGCTGCCCAGGGAAGGGCGATGGCGGCGCGCAGCGTCTGCTTCGTTGAGCTGAGCAGCGCTGCTAGGTCATCGACGTATGCGGGGTCGTCGTCGGCGGCAATGTTGGAGAGAGCGGAAATGAGAGGGTCGTAGCCCATGCACCACAGTAGGGGGGAGGCGGTGCCTCCCATCCCAACGGGGCGGAGGAGGCGTCGTCCTGGCCCCTTGCACTGTCCTTTGCAGGACTGTACCCTTCGCCCGCCAATGAGGGAGTTCAGGGCGCGCAGGAGCCGAGGGGGCAACTTCCATTCGTAAAGGAGGCTTCCCAGCCACTGCAAGGAGATTATTTCAAAGGCTTTGTTTTGATCGCAGAAGACGACAGCTGTGCTCGGGGCCTCTCCGGCTCGCGTGGCCGCCGTGTCGATATACCTTTCTATGGTGTCCGCGCGCCTGCCAAGCAGGGCCTGCCAGGCAGGGCCAGGGTCGGGGGGGGGGGCTGGGTCCTGCCCCCAGGTGGCTGGTAACCTTGGCGACGTTGGGCCCGCATTGCCCCCCTTTTTTGGCGGCCTGGTCGGGGCCAGGAGTGGCTCCACCGCTGGGCCTATCGGGTCGGCGAGGGTGGCTCCGTATATTCGTCGAATGAAAGGGGAACTGGAACACACAAATAAATACACACAAATAAAAATATCCCCCATAATTTCCTATATTTCTGGGTTTTTGTCTTCCCCACCACTTCCCATATTTTTGCATATTTTCCTGGGAGTCGACGATTAATTGTGTCTGTGTGTTTCTTTCCCTCCTGATCGAAGGCATGACGGCAGCTGGAGTGGTCTCATGTCGCTGGGGCTCTCCGCGCCGGCCTTCTTGCCAATCCACGCTATAGGAGGTCGACTGGTGGGCCCAGCACGGTGTGCAGGAGGGTAGGGCTGAGCTCCGCGGCGTGCCAGGCCTGTGCAAAGAGGCAGGCGACGAACCTGGCTCCAGGGTGGTAGGTCTCGTAGGGTTCCCCGTCAATCCCCGGAGCGCTTCCGCTGGGGGTGAGGACGAGGGAGGCAATCTTGCCCCATCTGGGCTGGGGTCTGCTGGGGGCGTTGATGCCGGGGTGCTGAAGGAAGTAGTGGTCAAGGAGGCGCGAGGCGCAACCTGGGAGGGGGGGCGCAGCGTGCCAGATTGCGCCGCGGCTGTCCCAAAGGACGCGGTCGACCTGCTCAGGCCCATCGTGCCAAGAGCCTGTGGTGTCACGAACTCCGAGGATGGCGTGGGTCTTCTTGTAGATTTCTCTTCCAGTCCTATAGTGGGCGGCCAGGGGGGCCCGCTCCGCGCCCGGTCCCCTCTGGGCTGGTGTCAGTCTGGCCGCCCTCCTATGCGCTGCTTCTGCGTCCCACCGTCGGAGCCAGCCGGCGGCTGTCTCGGGGGCCAGGTCCTGCCCATCCCAACCGCATTCGTGCAGCCACGGAGCCAAGGTGCACGCCGGGCGCGTTGGCCCTTTTCTCTGCATGGCAGCTGCCAGGAGGAGGCCTGGGGAGGCCCGGGTCTTGTTCTTTCTCCATCTTTTCCACCAGTCCTGCAAGGCGGCGGATGGAGCGCGTCTCCCGAAGCGCATCAGGGTAGGAAGAACGGGCGGGATGGGATCTGCGCTGTCCTCAATGAGTTCGGGGGGGTCGAGGGCCCGTGTCGTCGGCGATGATTTCGCCGTCGTCGTTGTCGAAATGCCTGTCCGGGAACCCCCCAGCAGTCGCGGGTCAGACCCAGTCAGCAGGCTGGATAAGTCCTGTGAGGTTGACGGGGGGGCCTCGAAGGTGAGTTCCAGGAAGGAAAGAATATCCCCGTGCGACCCTACCTAGGAGTTGGAACCCCTAGGAAAGCAGCATTAGTAGTAACAGTAACGCTAAGCTAAAGCTAAGCTAAAGCTAAGCTGAAGCTAAGCTAAAGCTAAGCCACAGGCTAAGCTAAAGCTAAGCTAAAGCTAAGCTAAAGCTAAGCTAAAGCTAAGCTAAAGCTAAGCTACAGCTGAGCTAAAGCTGAGCTAAAGCTGAGCTAAAGCTAAGCTACAGCTAAGCTAAAGCTAAGCTGAAGCTAAAGCTAAGCTAAAGCTAAGCTAAACGCTAAGCGAAAAGCTAAGCGAAACGCTAAGCTAAAGCTAAGCTACAGCTAAGCTAAACGCTAAGCGAAAAGCTAAGCGAAACGCTAAGCTAAAACTAAGCTACAGCTAAGCTAAAGCTAAAGCTAAAGCTAAAGCTAAAAGCTAAAGCTCCCAGGGGACTGGGGGGAACCGCTCCCAGGGGACTGGGGGAACCGCCCGGGCCGCTTTGCACTGCCCGGCCCCTTTAAGCTAAGAGAGTAAGAACCTTTCTAGGCAGAGCCTAGGTAGGGGGGAAAAACAACTGCCTGAGGTAAACGTGCGCGGCGGTAGGAAGGTTCTTGAGGTCACCCGCCTTCATGGCGTAGTCCCTTCGGGCCCTGCGGGCCCCTTTGGGCCCCAAGTGAAGGAGAGCATGGTCGGACAGAGTTGGCTTCCATGCTTCGCGGACTTCGTAGGCGTAGGCCTGCAGGGTCGGGCACGCAAGCGCGTCAATATGTGATTCGTTGTCTCTGTCGATTCTGGTGGGACCTGTCGCGTGTGCTGTTGCGGAGCCGGCGCTTGCAAGCACGTCCTGTTAAAAAGCAACTGATTCAACCTCTCCATCTCGTGAGTCCTCGAGTTGGAGGTTAACGTCACCGCCCCAGTAGGTGTCGAGATTTCCCCACCGCTCGGTCGCATTAGCGATCTCGGAGAGCGTCTCGCCCTTTCTTGACGGTGTGGGGGGGGGGGGAGGGGGCATATGGAGACGACCCGAAACCTGTGGTCGCCTTGGCGGACGATGGCTGCGATGGCGCATCCCTGGACTATCTCTTCCTGCTCCAGGAGGGTGACGCCGCGGGGGGGCAGGATACCAACTCCCCCAGAGAGTCCTCCTGCAGGTCCTGGGAGGCAACCAAGGTGCGTGCAGGGAACATGGTTCGCCAGACCTCGGCTTCGTGTTCGGGCCAATGTGTTTCTTGCATCAAACCAATACGCCTGTTCATAGTCGTCTGGGTCAGGACGGCGTGCTTGATTTGGTTCTTAGCGGCAGCGCAGCTCCGCAGGTACCTGACGTTCCAGCTGGCGAGACGGGGGGGGGTTGTTGGCAGGAGTGGTATCGAGGGCGTGGATCAGATCATCAAGAGTGCGCGTGCCGCAGAGGGCATCCCAGGTGGGCTCGTTCCAGGGGTCGCTGTGGAGGAGACTCCAGAGGCCTCGAGGGCCACGAAACTTGCGCCGACTGAGTGCCTCAATGGCTGAATTAAGGGCGCGGCGGGCGGATAGCCAGGCCCGGGCACGGGGCCCAGGGGCCAGTTGGTGCCCGGGGGGAGACCCCAGCGCCTGGCGTAGCGATCTGGGGCAGTCCGTGGAGTCTAGGGGAGCGGCGACGCGGGGAAAAGGCCGTCTGTCTTTAGCAGCCGATCTGCTACGTCGTCCGGGAGGGGGAGCTCCCTGAACTGTGCCCATGGACATTGCATTCCTGCGAAAGCCCTGGCTGTTCCCCATCCCTGTGCTATCTGTTCTCGCGTAGGGGCTGGTCTGCTGGTCTCTCCCCCTGGGCATCCCCTGCTCCATGCCCGGAGCGCGGATACTATCCTTCGCTGCAAGCAGCGGGGGTCAAAGTGGATGCCAACTGCGTCGTAGAGTGCCCTGCCTTGGATGCCGAGCGCTCGGTAATAGCCGGCTAAGCCGACCGCTCTGGCTCTTTCGTCGGCAGCAGGGGGGCTCAGCCCGTGTGCCCTTCCCTCTTTGACGAGCCACTTTCCCCGGGCATTGGCCTTGGCTTCTGCGGCTGGGCTTTCTCTCTCTCTCTCTCTCTCTCTTCCGGCCATCGCCAGGGTCAGTCCTTCTGAGCATCCAGGGAAGCGCTCTTCAGCTCTGCATTCTGCGAGCACACCTCGCGCTCCGTGCTTCAGCTTATTCGGGTTTCTGAGGAACCATCCCAGACTGCTGTCTTCGTCGTGCAGGAGGCAGAGTAGGTGGGTCTGATAGCTGCTCGGGAGGATCGAGTCGGGGTCTCCTGGCAGGGACCTGGATTGTGTCCAGGTGGGGATCCTTCCGTCTGGTCTGAAAGCCCATCTGGGTTCCCAAGGGCTAGGAAGCCGTGGGTAGGAGATGGTGTCGGTTGGGGGTGGGAAGTTCCCAAACCAGAGCCTTTCTCTCGGGCTAGCGACCGAGTCCCCGACGTTCATTCTGACTGCCAAATCGAGGTTCAGGTCACCCATGGCTGCGCATATGGCCTTGCGGTGGGCTGCAGGCATTGAAGCGACGTTCTCCACCAAAACCAAGATCGTGAGGTCAGGCCTTCGTTTGTTCGCCAGGTACCAAGCGACTGGGGCCGCAAAGGAGCAGCAGGACTGGGTGCCGGCCAGACCGTCATTTCCCGCGAACTGTCCTGCTGCGGATAGGTTGCTGCAGGGAGGGCCTGCCACGATGAGCAATGTGCTGCCCCGTTCCAGGGAGCCGAGGTGTTTTTCCCATGTCGTCCTGTTGTCAAGAGGGTCCCGCTGGCGGAAGAGGTCCCACCCATCGAAGAGGGACACGAGGTGCAGAGGAGTGCTCCTCCCACCCTCGCTGGTGCTCGCAGCCTGTTCTCGTTGTGGCACGACTCCGGCCTGCTGTGTGAACGATTTCTGTTGCCTCTTCGACCCGTACTCTCCCCGCAATGTCGCCAGTCGCGTGCTCTGGGCCTAGCCTGACGGTGCCCTGCTCGTTGAGGGACCTGAGAGTCTCTCCAGGATTAGATTGTTGTCCAACCCGGCCACTTGGTACGCGGCCAGGACCTGGTCCGGCGGTGCCACAGGCGAGTCCTGTGTCACGATCTCTGTGCTGGGCCCATATCTGTTGCAGGACGTCAGCAGGTTGTGGTGCTGCAGTGGCTTCCATGGGGGGCTGGGTCTGATTCCTAGGTCTTGCTCTTCTTAGCCCCTCACCTGGGCCCTGCGCCCCGGGAGCGCTTCGAATGATGCCCCTGGCTGGTCCGCTGTGCCTGCCCGCCGTCGGCGGGACCTCCCACATGGCCGTGAGCGAACGTGTGTTGTCTTCCTCGGATCTTGTCGCACCGGGCCTCCCTCTGGAGTGATTCCTTGGTCCCGTTGGGCCGGCCTGCCCTGTCTGTCGGTTTCGGCTTCTGGCGTGTTGCCTCCAGGCTGCGGGGTGCTCTGGCTCTCTGTTGTGCCGGCTCCTGTGGTCTGGGGTGCGGGGAGATGTTCTTGCGGGCACCCCTCGTAGCTGGGGCTGCTCCCTCGTAGCCATTTCCTCTGGACCTCTAGGGGGGGTTGTGGGTGGTGGAACCATGTCTTCTGAACGCCCAGGGTCCTGGGGAGCACCGTCTGGGCGGGGCTGATTGTTTCGGAGGTCGGGCCAAGATGAGTCGACTAAGGCCCTGAGCCGGTCGGTGCCTGCTCTGCCATCCCTGACGGCGGGGTCCGGCAGGGCTTCCATCCCGGCCGAGAGGATGGCGTCGAGTGCTTCGTTGGTTAGTGTCTGGAAAGGGGCTCGGGGGCCTTCGCCTCCTGAGGCGCCCATCGTGCTGGGCTGGTGGGGTTACGCGAAGCGTCTAGAATTCATCGGTTGCGACCGATTTGGGAGTGGGTCGCGACCGCTTCGGAGCCCCGATCGGCCGCTGCCGATCGCGACCGAGCCACATCCGGTAGCCGAGGAAGAACTAGGCCTGGACCGATCCTCGACCCTGGGTCCTGGATCGATGCATCCTCGCTCCTGAATCGATCATCCATCCTCCATCGATCGACCCTGGAGCGACCGATCCACGATCCTGGAGCGATCGATCCTCGAACCTGCTTCGATCGACCCTCGATCGATCGATCCTCGATCCCGGATCGAGCGGTCCTGGATCGACCCTCGGCTCTCAGGGTGGGCCCGCCTTCGCTCGGGCGCCTCCGCCTCCTCGCCAGCCCCCTCGGCCGCTGGCGCGGCGAGCGCCGCTGGAGCCTGCGGCCGGCGCTGCCGCCGCCGACGCCGCCGTCGCCTGCGTCGCCCACTGAGATCACCGCTGGGGTTCTGGAGGCCTCCCAGATGGGGTTCGAGCAACCAGGAGAAGGAATTGGCGATCCCCCCCCCGTTATCGCTTCTCGCCCCTGGAAGTGGCATCCCGCAACGAGGCCCCTCAGTGCGGGATCCCACCAAGGACAGACCTGGATTACGCCAAGACGCCTCTCGGATCCCAATGAGAGTCCAAGAGGATTGCAACATTCAACCAATATACAACGAATATCCCTATTGGATTACGATATTCGGATCGGGTTCAAACAAGATCCGAGATCCCAATCCACCATGGGACTCGCAGATGGGGTCGGAGGATCTGGTCGCATCGCCGATGAATCGTCGATGTTTGTGATGTTTGTGACGGATCGGCGACGTCGGCGTGGAGAAGATCGGACTCCACATCGAGCCGCATCGCCGAGGCATCGGCGATGTGGCGCGGTCCTCCGACCTCATCTACTCCGACCCTATCTGGAAGGCCTTGATTAATGGGATAGAGAGGATTAGAAGTGGATGCTACGTCAGAGGAGGAAAAGGTAGCAATACCGCTACCCTTGCATCGATTTCGCTTTTGTCGGCCTCCTGGAAGGCCTTCGTCACCAACGCTGAATTCGCCCCGAAATTCTGGCCAGAACGCACCTCGGGGGAGGTCCAGGGAATAGCGGTGTCGGTACCTCTTGGTTTCCTCACCAAGGTGGGTTATATCTGGCCCAACCTAGCTTACAAGTGGGTTACAAGTGCCCTGAATAGTCTAGGGTGTTTCGATAGCTTCGGGAAGCGAGCTCCGCCCACTTGGGCCAGATCTGCACTGTCCCTAAGCCACCCAGGGCATTTAGACCAACTAGGCTAGGCCAGACATAACCCACCTTAGCATCAAGTTCTCCCCCCTTGGCCATACCCCCTATCCCTCAGCAGCCCCAGAAACAACCCTCCTACAGGAAGGGCCAGTCCACAAGGAACCTTCCACAAGAAAACCCTAAAACCCCAGGACGTCCATTGATTTTGGGTGTGGGAACGTCACGCTTTCCGTCGCAAAACCATCGAAACCCAAGGAACCCAGGGCACCCTGGAGGCAAGCAGGGTGTTTCTTGGCATGGGCCCCCACTGTATGCCCTACCCCTCAGTAGAATATAATAACGTCAGAAACTGGCCAATCAACGATGGACGACCAATACCTATGCACATGTACCGATCCCTGGATCCTGGCCGCGCGCCCTTCCTGGGCCCAAGATCTGTGCGCACGCCCTCCTGGCGCGGCCGGGGAGGCACATGCACCCGACCCCAGGCCCAGGATGGGCCCAGCCGGGATCGGTGCGTGTGCACAGAGCTCTCTCCGCCCGAGAAGGAAAACCAAGGCCGCGAGAATCGGGGCGCAGTTGTTGGAGCCTCTCTCTCCAGCGCGCGGACATTCTGGATCGGCGCTGGGCCCACCTGGCGGCGCCGGAGGCGCCGCCCCTGGCGCGCTCTGCGCGCCAGGGAAGGGGGCTCCAGCGCCGATCCAAGAATCCGCGCGGACCACTGCAAGCTTATGCTTCCACGCAGTGGTTTTTTGTTTCGACCGCCACCGCCGAGGCTCGAGGATCGAGGACTGGTCGAAGATCGAAATTTTCGAAGGTTCTCTTTGGTTCCTGGAGGTTCTCACTCTCACCTTTCGGGGTGCCTTCCGACAGCTGCGGTTCGCCAAGGGCAAGGAAGGGGCTCCCGAATCGTCCCAAACTTTTCTGGCAACCCATGGGAGCCTCCGACGCTATGTCATCTTGCTGGATCAGAGAGAGGCTCGAGAACCGAGGCTCGAGAACCGAGGCTCTAGAACCGAGGACGAGGCTCGAGAAGCGAGACTCTACGGCAGGTTTGTGTCGTGACGACCTGGGCGTTGGTTTCTGACACCGCCGGTATCGTTCAACCTTGAAATGGGCCGCTTCCGAAGCGTCAGATCGTCCAACATCAACCGATTCTGGGTCGCCGCCAGTGTTCAACGTTGAACGCCGGCGGCGGGGTCGCCGCCGGTCGACACGACGCGAACCTACCGTATAGGTTCATGGAAGTTTTCAGCTCTTTCTGGGCAGAGACCTCCAGAGGCTCCTGGGGCCTGCAGAGAGCTTCGGAGGCCTTCGGGCTGCGTCGGAACTCGTCCTCGCCACGGCCGTGGTCGTCGTCGTCGTGGTCGTGGCCTTCGGCCGTCGTCGTCCTCGTCGTTGTCGTCGTCTCTGTCGCCGTCGTCATCTTCGTCGACGCGGCTGTCGCCCTCATTGTCGTCGTTGTTTGCGTCGCCCCCCCCACGGTTGTCGTCGTCGTGGTCGTGGCCTCTGGCCGTCGTTGTCCTCGTCGTTGCCGCCTCCGTCGTCGTCTTCGTCGACGCTGCTGTCGCCCTCATCGTCGTCGTCGTTTGCATCGCACCCCCCCCCACGGTTGTCGTCGTCGTCGTGGTCGTGGCCTTCGGTCGTCTTCCTCCTCGTCGTCGCCGCCGTTGTCGTCTTCGTCGACGCCGCTGTCGCCCTCATCGTCGTCGTCGTTTGCGTCGCACACCCCACGACTGTCATCGTCGTCGCCGCCGCCGTCGTCATCGTCGTCGTCGTCGATCGCCGTCTTCGTCGACGCTGCCGTTGACGTCGCCGTCGTTGTCGTCGTCGTCGTTTGCGTCGCCACCGCCACGGTGGTCCCAAAAGTGGACGATACCAAGCAGCGAATATTTCCCCAAACCGACCCCGCCACTGTAGGGTAGTCCAAGATGGACAACATGCGCGGCGACAGCGACGGTGAGTCCTGTTGCTGTGGATCTTCGCCGCCATTCCTGCCGTACTCATTTCGCTTCCCCCGGACGGTCAACGCAAGATCTGTCAGAATCGAATCGGAAAGTCGAATCGGATCGGTACGTGCGTCGGATCGGGCCGCACTGGCACGGGGACGGAACTGAAGCAGATCGGCCGCGCAAGGATGCACACCAACGCCGTGCAAGCATCGGCCCGAATGTCAGAATATCGGAATTGAATGAGGTCGGGCGGGCCGAAATTGATATCGAGTCGGATCGTCGGATCGAGGTGGACCACTGTTTCGACCCCCTCGAGCGGTTGTCGTTGTCGTCGCGTCGGATATCGGTTTTCGAGCCATGACTGGGGCCTCCAGCGGCCGTACATGTCCATTCGGGCGTCCCTGGAACTCTCTCGGCGAGGCGCAGCTACTTGGAAGCATCCCGATGCGAGAAAACCTCCGGCACTCGCCGAGAAACTCCGGACACTTTCGAGGAACTTCCGAGCGGTCGTAGTCGTCGTCGTTGTAGTCGTCGTCGTCGTCGTCGTCGTCGTCGTCGTCGTCGTCGTCGTCGTCGTCGTCGTCGTCGTTGTGGTCGTCGTTGTGGTCGTCGTCGTCGACTTCGTCTTCGTCGCCGTCGTCGCTCCCGCCTCGCCGTCCCTGGCGGCGCGGTCGACGAGGAAGACGTGCAACGGGCCCCTGGCGAGGTCCGAGTTCGAGTCCCCGGCCTCCGCCGGCCGCGCAGGAGATCGAGGAGGGGTCGACGATCGAGTAGGACCATCACCACCACTACCATTGGTAGGACGGGGTAGAAGGGAGGACGGAAAGGCCCTCCTCCTCATCCTCCTCCTCCTTCTCCTGTTTCGCCTGGTTCGAGGCGGCCTCATGTCCCGTCGCTCGGGACGTGGCCGCGGCCCTCCTCCTCCTCCTCCTCCTCCTCCTCCTCCGCCTCCTATTCCTCCTCCTGCTCCTCCTCCTCCTCCTCCTCCTCCTTTTTTGGTTCGCACTGGTGATATGCTTGCTGCGTCCTATCCTCCTCCTCCTCCTCCTCCTCCTTCTCCTACCTATGGTAGCGGTGGTGGAAAATCGGCCCCTCAGGGAGGGAAGGACGACGATCCAGGAGGACGAGGATCGAGTGACCCACATCCTTGTGGGCCCTTGAAACGGCAGGGCCGATGTTTACCTCAACCGCCTCGTCAAACGGTAAGCAGCAGCTCATCGGAACGGTAAAAAACGGTTCATCAAAAGGGCATGGGCTGTCAGGGGATCCGAAGGACGTTCGGAACGGGTTCGAAAACAGTCCAGATCCAATAAAGAAATTGTGATTTGGACCAGGGCAGGGGAAACGAAAACGGTGAAACAACGGCGCAGAAAACGTCAACAACAACAAGTTCCCGAAAACTGTAAAACAAAGAGCACAAACTATAAGCAAAAAGCTGCGCGATGCCATTTCCAAGGCCCACCGAGACCCCAACCCCCTCGCGTTGTGAAAAAACACGACGGAAAGCTGCTTGCCATTCCAAGGCTGGGCTAACAGCGTTGTCGCTTAGCGGGGTGGTGGGGAATCTTGTTTTTGTGGCACCGAGCGCGTGCAGAAACAAATGTAGGAAATCACGAACCACGGCTTCCTACATGGCAAATATGAAGATGTATCGAACGAAGCGACACAACGAATTGAAGGAAATCACAAGCCATGCTTTCCTACAGTTGGTTTGGAAACGGACCAAACACCCCTACAATGTCGAATCCTACCACGCCGTTGCGTAGAACACCGTTAGCCCGTCTACGGCGATTTGCAACCTGTGGGGGCCGCTTGGAGGGATCTGCTTCAATCGCACGGTTCTGAAGAGAAGAATCAATGAGCGAGGGCGCGCGGAGGACCAGAGAGCCGAGGAACGCCATAGGTAGTCGAGGGGCGGACATCGTGCCGCGCCCCAACTTCCGCCCTGCGGCGCCGTCTGGAACGACGCCGACAAGCTCACGTAATCTCGTCTCCATATAAAAACATGGTGACCTAGACTGTGCGCGAACATCGGACCGAGAGAGACTGACACCGCCGTGAGTTTTTCCGAACGCGCCAGAGCGTGACGGGAATGCTTGGCTCGAAAGCACAGCGACGTTTTCCAACTTCGGTCGGAACTTCGGCCACACTGCGTTTTCGGTCAGAATTCCGGACAAGTTGTCCGTCACTTATATTATGTCGGGCGTGTCCCCCCCCTACAGGGGGATGCTCGACGAAAAACAAGAAATACCCAAAAAGGACCCCAAAAAGGTCAAAAGATACTCAAAAAATAGTCCCCCGATTATTTTTTTTGGATTATTTCTTTTACGACTGTTGGGGAACGTCTTGTTTTTCGTCGAAAGTCCCCCTGTATGGGGGACACGCCCGACTTACTGCTTGGCTCGAAAGCACAGCGACTTTCTCTCGGTTCGGCCGGAACTTCGGCCACACTGCGTTCTCGGCCAGAATTCTGGACACGTTTTCGGTCACTTCCCACCCTTTCGGCCGAGAAGGGCCGGGCGCCGTGAACAGCCTGGCGTGGGCAGCGGCGCCGCCCCGTCTCCAGGTGCCCTCCTGAAAAGAGGGGGAGGGAGGGCAGGAGGAGGAGGAGGAGGAGGAGGAGGAGGAGGAGGAGGAGGAGGAGGAGGCAGGAGGAGGAGGCCCCCCTGGACAGCGCGCCAAACTGGCACGGCCGCTGGCAGCTGGCGGCGCGCACGTCGGGGCGGGTAAAGAGCGCGAGGGGGGCGGCCTTCTGAGCATGCCAGGGGAGCTTCTCAGTGCTAGTGTGCATAGGGCCCTCTTGGTGGGGCCCCGCCTCCCCAAAAGGACAGCCCCCTCGGGCGAACGGCCCCGCCCCCCCCCCCCGCGTGCGACGCCGGAGCATGCCGGGCTCCTCCTCCTCCTCCTCCTCCTCCTCATTTCTCTCCTCCTTCCTCCTCCTCCTCATTTCTCCTCCTCCTTCCTCCTCCTCCTCCTCCTCCTCATTCCTCCTCCTCCTCCTCCTCCTCCTCCTCCTCCTCTTCCTCCTCATTCCTCCTCCTCCTCCTCCTCCGCCAGGGACGAGGAGGCGCACGACGGAGCTCCTCAGGCAGCAGCGCGAGCGGCCCCGCCTCGTGCGCGGCAGTCGCTGCGGCGCCATCGACCGCCCCAGGCATCTGGCGATCGTGATTTCTCCGGTGCGCGGCCCCAGACATCCCGACCCCTTCCCCGGGGGTAGTTGTCCGTCGCAGATCAAACTCTGGTGGCCTCGGGGCTGGCTACCGGGCTCCCGGGCGCCGATCTCGAGGAGAGACGCCGGAGATCTGGGGCACCATCGCGCGGGCGCTCGCGCAGCCGCCCATCGCCTGCTGCCCGCGGGATCCCGGGGCGGCCGTTGCCACAGACGCAAGGCGGGTGGCTTCAACAGAGCCCGCGCCGTGCGAGGGGCTCCCCCAGGCCAGCTCTGAGGATGGGGATCAGGAGGAGGAGGAGGAGGAGCAGCAGCAGCAGCAGCCTGGCATCCTCTCGTTATGAAGAAATCAACCACGGGGGGGGGGTCGGCCATTATCGTCCTCTGGGGGCCCTCGCCGAACCACAGGACAATCGAATAATGACTCGGGATGAAAAACCTGTCCCACGGAAAGGGCCCAGACTTCTGGAGAGCCACGCTGTGAAAAAAAACACGACGTCGGATGCCTGAGGGGAGGACGAAGAGGAGGAGCAGGAGGAGGAGGAGGAGGAGCAGGAGGAAGGGGAGGAGGAAGAGGAGGAATGGATTTCCTACGCGCGCACAGGAAAACAAGACGTATGGAGGAAAGCCCCGGTGTACTACTTCAACTTGGACACCAGGGAAACCACATGGGACGACCCAGGCAACGTGCGACTGAGCCCAGGATTGAAGCGAGCACTATCGCCCGACAACGTTTCTACGACCGCAGCGGGAACATCCTGAAATACCCACCCACTGCCACACGTGATCGCGCACAACCACCACCACCACCGCAAGCCCCACCACCTTCACAAAGGCCAAGACCGTTGTCACCACAAGCTCGCTCCTACTACGTCGACAAATCCTCCCTCGAGACGATCGCCACGAGGTGTATGAGCGAAAGCAAGTTCAGGGACGATGTGGACAACCTCAAGGACAACATTAACTTCCTCACCAACGACGAGGTAGCAGAGCTCGCGATGCATGATAGCCCTCAGTGACGCCTGGTGAGCTAATCCTCAACAAGCAAGATGACAACCTAGTCACACCAAACGGTATGCTACGGATCACTGGGGAGATCCAAGACCGCACAGCCACAACACGGGATAAAACACCGACCAAATGACCAACTCTTCAATCAAATGATCAACCCATCGACACAGCTACATGCGCCCAGTCACTAGGGGACATCAAGCAGCAGCGATTGGCCAGCCACGTACCCACGACAGGACGTGAAGGCCGCCACGCCGATAGCAACAGCCCCGGTATCGAGCGCCAGCGGGCAGACACTTGCTCCCACGCGGCGGGCACGATACAAGCCACCTCCTGCCACATGCCTACACGACCCTAACCACATGCACAGCACAATCAAAGGCGGAGGTGGCATTCCGAACAGACCGACGGACGATCAGCCCCAGGATCAAGACATGCCGTTCAAGCCACCACCGGGGACCCCACCCACGAGCACCGGAGCTGCAACAGCCAACCACAATACCGGCAATCCGACGCCAACGCCACGCAAGACACAGGTAGTGAATGTCAAGGCCAACGCCCAACTCGATTTGGACACGGTATTCGAGATGGTGAATCCTCCGATCGGACACCCACCATGAGCCATGGGATCTGGAGATGATCAAAGCGAACGACATCAGGAACTGATCGAGCGCATAACCAACAACATCAGCATGATACAACATGACCGCTAGACCGAAACCATCAAGATTCAGACACACACAATGATCTCATACTACTGTGTGAGCACAAGCAACGTTGGCAACCGCGACGACCTGGACGTTGGGGTGGGCTCCAGCATCCGTCGTGAAACTCGACTAGGTCATGACCTACGTAGAAGCACCGCTAAACTAAGGATTTGGGCGCGACGGGCTACGAGAAGCACACCTATTTCACGTGACCGAGCGCCAGACTCTCCTCGCCCAGTACACCAACCACCAGAAGGCAGGGATACTGGCCTGCCAGGTCGACGTCGAGTCCGACGACTTACCTGCACTACCTACCGTGAATGCGCAGCGGCGAAGCATGCCCATGTCCATAGAGCCTGGCTACACAATACAATCAGAGATCCATGCCGACGCAATTCCTCTTCGCGCGGCTCCAGGACCTGACCGCGACGGCAGTAACGCGCAAGTTTTCTGATTTGATCCACGCACAAGGCCCCCATCCCAAGGGCGCGGCCGACGGCCAGCATAGCGAGCAACAGCCCACGACTCTACGCAGCCCAACACTGACGCAACGACCAACCTGCGAGACGACCCTCAGACCGAACCACGCCACCCCGACCCACCCACGCAGGGGCATCCGATGCGCTGCGAGAAGCCGACCTACAACGAAGCGCCCAACAGGCTCAACTGGTGGGGCGCAGCTCTAGTAGCACGGCTCCAACGGCGCGCAGCTCTGCAAGCGCTACGAAGGGCCGCAGTTGGGGCCAACCTGCTCCAGCACAGCGACCCTGCGCCAGAGGCGCAGCAACAGATGGCCGACAGCAGCCGCCAGATTGCGCCTAAGGAAAGCTCCGCGAAGGCCTGCCACCAGGGCGCCGACGCGCCCCCCATCGACAGCCATCCCGCGCAGCCACAGGCGAACACAACCAGACCACCGAGCGAAGGGCGCGACGACGATCAAGTCCACAGCTGCAGCGCAGATGCGCTGGCCACAGCCGACGACGGCCCGGGGGCCTGGCCGCCGATCCGAATCGAACTCCAGCATTGCAAGAAGGACCGCCAGTACGACGACACGACGGCCAAGCAAAAAACCACCCCCTGCACCGCCTGTCGTGGCTGCACAGCGGCGAAGCATGTCCACATTCATCAAATAGGCCACACGATGCAAGCCGGCATCCACGTCGACGCCATTTCTCTTCACGCGGCTCCAGGACCTGACCGCGACGGCAGTGGTGCACAATATCTCCGAGCTGATCAGCGCACAAGACCCCCATCCCAACGACGCGGCCGACGACCGGCATAGCGGCAACAGCCCGCAGCGCAGCCACGCGCGAACTGCGAGTCTACGCAGCCCAGAACCGACGCAACGACCAACCTGCGAGACGACCCTCAAACCGAACCGCGCCACCCCGACCCCCGACCCACCCACGCAGGGGCATCCGACGCGGTGCGAGGAGCCGACCGAAGCACCCAACAGGCTCCCCAGTGAGGCGCAGCTCTAGCAGACTACGCAGCGCGGCACCAGCAGCGCGCAGCTCTGCATTCGCTACGGGAGGCCGCAGCTGGGACCAACCTGCTCCAGCATGAAGACCCTGCGCCAGAGGCGCAGCAACAGATGGCCGACAGCAGCCGCCAGACTGCGCCGACGGAGAAGTCCACGCAGGCCTGCCACCAGGGCGCCGGCGCGCCCTCTCTCGACCACCACCCCGCGCGGCCGAGGGCGACCGCGATCAAGCCGCCAAGGGAACGGCATGACGACAAGCAGGTTCACACCTACAGCTCACACGCTGGGGCCGCAGCTGACGACGGCTCGGATCCCTGGCAACCGTTCGAATCAAATTCCAAGATGCAAAAAGGATCACCAGTGCGACGCCGCTACGGCAGATCAGGAGGCCCCACTCTGCTCGGCCACAACCACGAGGCCTACGCCTCTTGATGGGGCCGGCCTTACAGCGGCCCGTCAGCGCGGCCACCTCCTCTCATGACGGCCACCAACGACGCGGCAACATCCTCTGGTCTGCACCCATGGACTCAAGACCTCTGAGCCCAGACATTGTCGGCAGCAGGCGCATCGGCAGCAGGTGCGCTTTCGGGGGGCAAGGGGGCGATCGCTAGTGCATGTTAGCATCAGCCCTCGATCGTCCAAACTACATGAAGTCAGATAGTGGGTCGTCAGGCCTATACCTATGGATGCTGCCGCTCACCGATGCGAAACCACTCCTACCGTCCAGGTCGCTCTCGATCTCGCAGGCTACGTCGCCCTGATGATCGTTGTCGCTCCTCGTGGCCTCGGCCTCCGACTCCCTCTGCGCTGTCTGCTCGTTGGCGCGCCGGCGCCGCGCCGCCTTGATCGCCTCCTTCGCGGAAACCGCCTCCATGATGACCTTCGCGCTCACGACCCCGCCCTGCGTGGCCGTCGCGAGATAGCCCCTCTCAACGTCCAGTTTGGTCAGCGCGCCGGCCAGCTGCACCGAGGTGTTGCGCCACCCTAGATCCATTCCATCCTGCGACGGTAGCTCTCGAAGCGCTGCGACCACAACTCAAAATCGACGATCTGCGAACTGCGACCTGCCCCGCATCCGCGAGGAGTGGGTCACCAGGCTGTTCGCGTCGTCGAACTACTTCGCCGGGATCAGGATCGCATCGTCGTCCGCCAGATCGCCGGGAGGCCGGCTGTGCTTCCCCATCTCGTAGTGCAAGGCCCGGATCCACCCAAGCGCTTCTGCGCCCTCGGTGAGTCCACGAGCGACGGCCCTCGTCGAAGCAAGGCGCGCGCGCGCTTCATCCGCGAGCTCCTCCGGTCCAGGACGTGAGCTGGGCCCTCCTTCGCAGGCCGTCGTCGGAGAGCGGGCGCACGAACCCTGCCCGTGACTTCACGTCCTCGCCAAGCAGTCCTAGGTCGAAGTCGCCCACGTCATTGAGCCTGCTGTCGGCAAAAGACACTGTGCGCAAACGTACTCCATAGCGTACACGACGTGTCCCATGCTGGTCTTGATCGCGTAGTCCGCCTCCTGCTCGGCGTGCTTCCCGCGGTGCTGGAAGAGCGGCCCCTCCACCGTCGGCAGCAGCGCCTTCCTCAGCTCCTCGGTCGTGGACTTGAACAGCTTGCTCTTGGGGTCGCCGGTCGCGAACAGGTCGCCCATGCAGGTGCCTATGAGGTCGACGAGTCCCCCATCCTCGGAAAATTGGAGCAGGGACGTTCAAGGCAGCTCTCCTGCCACGAGTGGCCGCGAAGCGTACGCCGTAGCTTACTCCGCCACTTCCTGCCAACGCCTTTGGCCCCGTAGATCGCGCCATGGCAGATGAAAAGCGAACCCTCTCCGACTCCAGCTGGTGGAGATGAAGCTGGACGTAGTGCCAGCATTCGATCAACGTCATCTCTGTGAAGGTAGGCATTGGTCTTGCCAAGCTTGACTAAGGGCCGATGCTTGCGCGCCGCCGTGCTGCATCAAGTGGAAGACCGGCAGGGATGACGTCGGCGAGTCCGTCCTGACGTGCACCGACTCGTGGCAACCGACGGCTACCAGCCTCGACTTCGCCTTCATGGGAAGCTTCGGGAGGTTCTCGTTCTTGCTGGTATGTACCCATCTCGATGGAATGGGCCTGACCTTCTTGACCAGCACCCTCGCCGCATCGCTGGTGACCACGGTGACTGCCCTGAAGTTCTTCCAATTGTCTCACTCCTTCGCCATGCTTGCTTCGAACAGTGCCCTTTCCGCCTTGAGGAGCTTCGCGAGTGCCAGCTCCTTGCCCCTGGACTTGCTGGTCAGGCAGATGTGGTTGATCCAAGCGTAGTGGGCGTCGTCCGTAGCGTTCTCGTCAAGAAAGGCGTCCCCACACATGGGGCCCGGCCTCGAGCGCCTCGGCGAGGCCCGTTGTGGGCCGTAGGGCTGGAGGTCCTCCTGAGCTTCAAGCTCAGGCTGAAGAGGCACTTGAGAAGTAAGTGGATGACCGACTCCCGCTCCTTCATCATTACCCGCAACAAAGAGATCATCGTTTAGATCGTCACCATCATCATCATCCTCCTCCTCCTCCTCCTCCTCCTCATCATCATCATCATCATCATCATCATCATCATCATCATCATCAACATAATCATCACCTCCATCACCACCACCACCATCATCATCAGATTCTTCATTATCATCATCAGCATCAGCATCGTCATCATCGTCATCATCATCAGCATCATCATCGTCATCATCATCAGCAGCATCGTCAGCAGCAGCATCATGATCAGCATGACCATCAGCATCATCGTCATCGTCGTCGTCATCAGCATCATCATCAGCATCATCATCATCAACAGCAGCATCATCGTCATCAGCATCTTCATAATCATCTTCATCATCATCACCAGCATCATCACCATCACCATAACCATCATCAACATCATCATCGGCATCATCATCAGGAATACGATCAGTCGCAATTCTTTGCTTAGGTAGCCGTTCTTGGCTGGCTCAGGTGTATGATCGGCAGCCTCGGCACCAGGAGCTCCAGCAGTGAGATCCTCGCCGGGTTGTGTCTCCGCAGGTCCCGACGCCGGGTCTGGAGGTACGGGGCCCGTAGGCTCCTGTTGCTGGCCGTCGCCATCCTCGTTGGGCGGCTCGCTGGGCACAGACTGTACCTCGGCCCCCAGACGTGGGGCACTAGCGGTGGCCGATACCGTAGCCAGATCGCGCGAGGGCTCCCTTAGACAGCCGCGGGCCTCAAAGCAGCGTCGATGCCGTCCGCCATCTTGTCCGGGTCGCGAAAATCTTGCCCGATCACGCGGGCGATCAAGACCCGCGGTGGAACAGAGCCGGCGACTCGCAATGCCTGACGTGGGTCCGCGGGAACTAGACGTACGACCCAACAGGGAGCGGCCCCCTCAAAGGTGCAGGTCTCGCCAGCTTCGCCCTCCTCATACGGTTGTCGTTATCCGTCTTCACGAAGGCGACCTCGGCAGACTCTCGCCACAACAGGCTCGAGGCCATCGCGGGCTCGGGGTCGAGCGCCGTCTCGTGCACGTTCAGCTTCTCCGACTCTCCATCCTGCAAGATCGAGCCCGGGATACGTAGGCCGCCAATCCCGAGTACCCAATTCGCAAGCGAGTACCCGTCGTAGAGCACCGTCTCGTTGCGAACCTGGTTGACGACCTGCGTCTCTCCGAGCTCCTTCCTTGTTGTTTCTCCCAGATCTTCACGCCCTGTTAATCACTTACTGTATCCCCTGGTGCCTCATCGCCTCCTAGAGGCTCGCCTTTCCCCTTCTTTCTCATGCCTCAGGACTTCTCCTTACGCATGCCCCCTTCCACCAACTCATCCACTAGCACCGCTCCCCCACCATCTGCGGGCTCCTGCCTCCTCCACCAACGCCTCGTCCTCAAGCTGCTGCCCCTCCTGCGGCTGCTCCTCCTACTCATCATCCGCTCCTCCCGCAGCTCCTGATCCTGCTCCCGCTGTTGAACGTGCTGCTGCTGCTGCTGTTGCTGCTGCTGTTGCTGCTCCGATAGGAACAACACATGGCATGCATACACACAAAAACTTTCGACGGTCCGCGCGGCTTCCGACAGGGCGGCGCCGAAGGCGCCGCGAGGGGGTCCAGCGCACATCCAAGAACGCCGCATGGAGTGCCGAAAGCTTGTGTTTGCCGTTGCTGCTTCTTCGCACTCCTCCTCCTCCTCCTCCTCCTCCTCCTCCTCCTCCTCCTCTTACTGCATACGTCTCCCCCTCCTGCATATTGTCCGAAGGGCTTTTCCCGCGGAGGCCGCTCGGCCTCGTCCTCCGCAAGCTGCACGACGCTCGCGGGGGCGGTGAAAACGACGGTGTCGACGTCGGCGCCCTGCCGGCTGGGCCCGGGCTGACGGCAAGATGCTTGCAGCCTCTTGGGAATAAGGGCGCCAACCCCCGCACTCTGGAAGACCTGCTCGGGGCCCAGGATCCCCAACAAATGGGCGACGAAAAGAAACGGGTCCTACGAGAGATGGCCTAACAAACTCACGCGGTGGCTTACGCGGGCCGCCAGCGCGGCACGCCACATTGGAGACGAAGGCGCTTACGCGCGACATTACGCGGGCCAGGTACGCGCCAATGTCGACGCGTGACCGCCGACATTGTCGGCGCAGTACGCGCGCCAATGTCGGCGGTCACGCGTCGATCAGATGGCCCCTTGCTGGCAACACTACAAATGGCACGCTTGCTGAACTATGAAAGGTTGCTCACGATGGACGGACCACACTGTCCCCATCACGATTGGCAAACATGAACGTGCGAGATGCACCTGTTTTGGTTGCCACCAAGACAGAGAAAACTGCTGCGGGGCTAACGCGAGACGACGATGAGTATCAAGTAAGGGGCGAGTGAGAAAGTCATGCTCGTGCCCTGGCCGGGGCGCTCAGGGGGTGGGGTGGAGGGCTCCTGGACCCTGGGTGGGGTGCCGACGCCCCTGGCAGGTGGACAGTTGCTAGCCCTTCTCGATCTCGTGGTGGCCCGAGCCCTCAACCAACGTCGGAAGCGACTTACAGTCAGACTGCTGCCCATTCGAAATCAATGAACCGTTGTAGACACATGGGCTGTCGTACCAGGCCCAGGGGGGGCAGTCGGCGGGGCAGTCGCCGCGTCCCAGGGGATTTTCTAGCAGGGGGGAGCTAATTCAGCACTCCCGGGGGGGGGGGGGGGGGGGCGGCCGAAGGGCACGACACACGGGCACGACACTCGCCCCGAAGGGCACGACACTCGCCCGTTCGCGCCCAGATTGTGGGGGCGTCTCAAACGGTTTGCCTGATTCGTGGCTTGGACCTGTGCGCTGCCAGAGCTGACTGTGATGACGTTTCAAGCGAAGCGCTGGTTTCAGCGTATGACACTGACACTCGCCCGCCCGCGCCCAGACTGTGGGGATGTCTCAAGCGGTGTTCCTGTTTGGTGGCTTGGACCTGCGTGCGTTCAAAGCTGGTTGTGATGATGCCTCAGGGGCAGCGCTGGTTTCAGCACTCCCAATGGAGAGCCACCGGGGGTGTGACACTCGCCCAATCGCGCCCAGATTAAGGGATGTCTCGAGCGTTTCGCCCGTTTGGTGGCTTCGACCTGTGCGCTGACAGAGCAGATTGTGAGGACATTTCAAGCGATGCGCTGGTTTCAGCACTTCCCAAAAGGGGAGCCGCCAGAGGGGTGACACTCACCCGTTCGCGCAGAATGTTGGATGTCTCATGCGGTGTGCCCGTTTGGTGGCTTACACTTATTTGCTGTCAGAACAGTTTGTGAGGATGTGTCAGGCGAGGCGTTGGTTTCAGCACTTCCAGGGGAGGAGCTGCCAGGGGGTACGACACTCACCCGTTCGCGCCCAGAGTGTGGGCATGTCTCAGTCGGTGTGCCTGCTTGGTGGCTTGATGAATTTGTGTTTTGTCAGGACAGATAATGAGATGTGTCAGCGGAGCCGCTGGTTTTAGCACTCCTAAGGGGGGGAGCCGCCAGGGGCTGACACTCGCCCGTTCGCTCCCAGATTGTGGGCACGTCTCAAGCGGTGTGCCTGCTTGACGGCGTGAGCTTCTGTGCTGACGCAGCAGAAAATGAGGATGTCTCAAGCGAGGCGCTGGAATGACCACTCCCAGGGGGGAGCCGCCAGGGGGTATGCCACTCACCCCTTCGCGCTAAGATTTTAGGGGATGTCTCAAGCGGTGTGCCTGCTTGGTGGCTGGGACTTGCCGCTACAGTGAATGCCCGTCCACAAGAAACCTTCCACAAGAAACCCAACCCTGAGACCCTGGGACGTCCATGGACTTTTGGTGTGGGAACGTCACGCCTTCCACAGCAAAACCATGGAAACCCAAGAAACCCAGGGCACCCTGGAGGCAAGCAGGGTGTTTCTTGGCATGGGCCTCCACTGTATCAGAACCGATTGCCAGATGTCCCAGGCGAGGCGCTGGTCCCAGCACTCCCAACTCCCAAGGGGGGAGCCGCCGAGGTGCACGACACTCACCCGTTCGCGCCCGGCTTGTGGGGATGCCTCGGGCGGTGTGCCCGCTGGGTGGCTCAGACCTCCCTGCTTTCGGAGCGGATTGTGGGGACTCCTCCTCCTCCTCCTCCTCCTCCTTCTCCTCCTCCTCCTCCTCCGTCTCAGGCGAGGCGTCGGTTTCAGCACCCCATGGGGCCCAGATTGGTGGAGAACGCCTCAGGCGGTGTGCCTGTCTGGTGGCTGGGGCTTGGCTGCTTCCTGTGGCGAGGCGCTGGTTTCAGCATGGTTCGGTTGTTTGGTGTGTAAATGCTGTATAATTTCCCAGCAGATCCTGAGGATGTCTTAGGCGAGGCGTCGGGAAGAGCACCCTTAGGGGGTGCGCCCAGAGTCACAATTTTCCCTGTGCCCACAGCAGGAAGAGGAGTGAGGATTGTCTAAAACGGTGTGCCTTTCTGGTTCCTATGGCTCCTACATGTTCAAAGCAGCTTGTGACGGCGTCTCGAACGCAACCCTGGTTTTAACCGAAGACGCCGTCGTCGTCGCATCCGTCGTCCATCCGGATGCATACTCACACCCAGAAACTCACAACGCAAAATGTTACGAAATGGGATGCACATCTGGGGATCTCCGCGCCGAGTAATTACTTGAACGCAACCGACTCCTTCACACACGCCCCTCCTCGTCCTCTGACTCCTCTTTCAGGTCGTACTCAGACACTCAAGCCACTCACGAGCAGACTTGCTCACACTCAGACTCAAACACCCTCAGAACCACTCACATCCATACTCACTAATACTTAGACTCATCCATAATCAGACTCACTCACGCTCTGACTTACTCACACTCACACTCACTCACACTCATACTCACCCACACTCAGGCTCACTCGCAATCCGATTCACTCGTACTCACGATCACCACTCAAACTCAAACTAACTCACCATCATACTCATACTCACCCATAAACATCATCGATCGCACTCAGATTCGCAGAGTGCGAGGATGTCTCAGGCGAGTCGCTGGTATTAGCACTCCCACGAGGGAGCCGCCAGGGTGGGTTCACAGGCCCGTTCGCGTCTAGATTGCGAGGATGTCTCAAGCGGTTTGTCTGTTTGGGTGACCAAGATGGTCTGCTAACAGAGCAGGTTGTGAGAATGTCCTGAGAGAGGCGCTGGCTTCAGCACTCCCACAAGAGGAGCCGCCAGGGTGCTTTCACTGGTCCGTTCGAGCCCAAATTGCGGGGGTGTCTCAGGCGGTTTGCCTGTTTGGGCGCTTAGATTGTTTTGTGTTCAGAGCACTCGTAAGGGGGAGCCGCAAGGGTGGTTTCACGGGCCCTTCGCGCCCAGTTTGTGTGGATGTCTCGGGCGGTGTGCCTGTTCGAATGCTCTGGCCCGCCTGCGTTCGGAGGGTGTCTCAAGCGAGAGTCGCTGGCCTCAGCACTCCTGAGGGGAGCTGCCCGGATGGTTTCACGGGCCGTTCGCGCCCAGTCTGTGGAGATGTCTCAGGCGATGTGCCGGTTTGGGTGCTCAGGCCCGTCCGCTTGGAGAGCAAATTGTGAGGATGTCTCAGGCGAGGCGCTGGCTTTCAGCACTCCCAAGAGGGAGCCACCAAGGTGGGTTCACGGGCTCGATCGCATCCGGATTGTGGGGATGTCTCAAGCAGTTTGTCTGTTTGGGTGGGTGTCAGACCCGCCTGTTCCCAGAGCAGATTGTGAGAATGTCTCGAGCGAGGCCCCAAGGGGAGCAGCCCCCTGGGGGTATGATACTCGCCCGCTGGCGGCCAGGTTGCGGGGATGTCCCGAGCGAGGCGCCCGTATTGCACCTCCGACTCCTGTCCATTCAGAGCCCCGTGATCGCCTCGATTTGCGGAGAAGGATGGCCGCCAGGGAGGAGGGGGGAGGGAGGAGGACGGAGGACGCAGGAGGAGGGAGACGGGAGGAGGGAGGAAGAGAAGGGATGGGGCCACGGAGGGCACGACGGAGAAAGAAGAGGGGAGGGGGCCGCCAAAGGAGGGGGGCACCCTGCGAGGGAGGAGGGAGGAGCACGTGGAGCACTTGCGCACAGCACGACGTGCCGAGGCGGAGGAACAGCAACAACAGGGAGGGAGCGATCGCCCAGGTGGCGGCCGCCAGCCCGCTCTCGACCTGGCGCCCCGGGGGGACCTCCCAGGCCGACCGCCGCCGCCCCCATCGGCACCGCTGGCGGTGAGTGCTGGGCCGAGGCGCCGCCGAAAGGCGGGTGGGGGGTTCAAGGCAAACGTTAGGTGGGGCATGTCCTCCTGCAGGCGAAGTTCGGAAGAAGAAATAAAAAACATAGTCGCACCAAAATGCAAGCATAGTCCAAAGAGCATGAAGAAGCGTCACCACACTATTTGTTTTACTCTTCTTGAATACTCCTCCTGTGGAGGGGCGCGCCCGACGTAAGGCAAACGCCGAGCTGGCAGCAGACCCTCGGCGCACCAGCGATGGGCGCTGGGCCGAGGCGCCACCCAACGGCGACCCCGAGCCCATGGGAAACCAACCGGGGGTGCCGAGCAACTCCGCCCAACGAGGTGCGAGGGCCTGTGCGCACCCGTGTCCACCGCCTGGGAACCGACGTCCTGGTGCCCCAGCGGGCGGTGGATATGGATACATAGATATATAATTATATACTAGAACCATCGAGCGCGCGTCGCGCGCGCGCTCAAGTTCTAGCTAGGGTCATGATCATCGTCATCATTGTCATTCTCATCCCCGTCATCTTCATCGTCATCGTCATGGTAACCTTCACCATCACCATCACAACAATGATCATTCTCACCAGTATCATCAGCATCCTGATCACCATCGCCATCATCGTCATCGTACTCTTCAGCATCAAAATCATCATCCGCATCATCAATATCTTGTTGGT